TTTTGGATCTACTACCTACTGTGAAATTTCTATTGTAAAAGAAGTTGCTTTATGTGAATAGATGGGATAATAACCAGTGTATGAGGGGTTTTTTTAAACAGAGGTAGAAGCTTGTTCCACTTTAGTGGGGTTATTGTTTATTTAATGATATGTTTTCTTAATGTAAACCTTAATGGTGAGATCAAAGGCAGTTATGCTTGCTATAACTTTAGAACACAAATCCACAAAACTTTTAGTTACAAATGCCAGCATGAAAAAACCCCTCACACTTTCTTCTCCTCAGCATGTGCTTGTCAACACACACATTCTGTACAATGTGATAAGACACTTAGTTAACATGTGCATGCAACCAAAATAGATTAAAGGCATGTACTGAATTTTTTTAAGACAGTACAGACTAAACAATCGGGAATTTAAGGCATGTTAGAAACAGGGACAGAAAGTAGTTGTGCTCATTTATTCAGTTTTAAAATGAAACAAAAAATATTACATAGCTTTCTAATTGACAGTCAGAAATGGATCTTTTGAAGTCATAAGCATACAAAACCACCGAGTTTAGGAATATGAGAAAAGCACCCCAAAAAACAATGGGACCAGTTAACTAAAAAAAAAAAAAGTAGAGTAGATTGCCCCACTGTATTTGTGTTTATATAATTAAAGTTGCAGCAGTCAGCGGCTTACTTTATAGTATCTTTGAAAACTATTAGGGTGTTGTTGCTCTGTAAGGATCTGGCCTTGATGTCCTTATCAATGTCTATGCAATTCCCATTGCATGGGATGCAAGTTACAGACTTGTAACAGATAACGAAACTGTCATGCAGGCAGAATTTGGGTTTAAGTGCACATGCACAGTACAGCAGAGCGAGATACCTGGCTGGGATCCTGCAGCATGCTCTGCTTTCCATGCAATACGCTAAGCATTCCCCCATCAGTTCATAGGTGCTCTAAGAAGCACTGAGGAAACGAGCTCATTTGTGTCCTGAAAGGTTGGCAATTCCTATTCTGAGTCCTTAATCTTAAAAACAGTTATAATATGTGCTAGAAACCTGGCAGTTCTGCAGTGACTATTTAGCTACCCCAAAGAAATCTCTGTTCAGTCCTATCACTTCTGCCAGCTGAAAAGGCAAAAAGAAAACTGAAACAAATAGAAGTCAGGATCATTTTGAATTAACCACTGACTCATATTCATCTCTTAAAATGTAATTTTTGTGCTTGTTAAACATGTAGGTGGAGATCTGTTTTTGCAAAGCTGCTGCTCAAATTCCCAGTAATCGTATACAGGTTGTTACAATTGCCCTTTTCACATGTTTGATATGTCAACTGACTCTTTTATATCAAGCTGTGAGGATGGCAGCTGATGCTTCCCAGCTGCTCGCACAGGCAAGGCATTTCATGACAGCTTCCTGAAGAATGTTCTGTCCTCTCCTCTGTGCTCTCCAAGCTTTTCTCTCCATATCAACCTTCTTCCCCCCCCAGAAAAAGTGCAGTTAGGGTGATGTTGCCTAACATCATATTCCCCCGCTGCTGACCCAGCCCAGACTGGGGTAGGATACGTCAGCTTCCTCACAGCAGGCAGGAGCGTAAAGCAGAGGAAACTGAGCTGAACGGTTCTCCAGGCATGAGAGGGGTGCATTGCAAGTTGCATACTTTAAGCAAGTGGAAGGGAGTCTTTCGGAACAGGCAGACAGATAATAGCTGCTTACATTTTTATCACTTAGAGGCAGTTTGTACCAAATCACGGAAGCTAAACCAAGTTTAAGAGATAATATGAAAGACAGGGCAAAGGCAGACTGATCAAGTGAGTCAAATTCACTTAAAAAGGTCCAGCAGAAAGTGATTGGGTCTCAGAAAAATGAGGCCAGCAGCTAATGCAAAATATAGCAACCCACTTTCATAGACAGACCAAAGCAAAGGCAGACTGATCAAGCGAGTCAAATTCATTTAAAAAGGTCCAGCAGAAAGTGATTAGGTCTCAGAAAAATGAGGCCAGCAGCTAATGCAAAATATAGCAACCCACTTCATAAACAGGCCAAAAAGCATATGCAAGGGCTGTTATATTAGTGCAGCTGACATGCTTAGGAGCACACCTTAATCTGTCTTTGATAACTTGGTGCTTTAGATATATCCATGGATGCATCTGGCTATATGTAGCCTAAGTGCCAGCAGTCAAGAATAAAAGGTGCAGGACTAGCATCATTACCTGTTTGTTAGGGGTTTTTTTGCCTGCCTTGAGGGTTAGAGAAAAGGACAGCAATGCTCACTTTTATATCCAGGCTTTTAACTCCTGTGCTTAGGGAGTTTTCAAAAGGCCAATCAAATTGTTTGCAGGACTGCTTTGGGCCATCTGAGCAGCACAATAAGAGTGAGCACCTGGCCCAGTACTTTTCTGCTCTATGTCACTAGAAGGGGTGGGGTGGTGTTTATTTTCTGTCTCATCCATAGTCAGTGAGATGGAGTTTTCTGTGGGGTTTTTTTTCCCTTTGCCCCCTATCTTTGCCAGCTGCCATTGGTGATGGTTGGATTTCAGAGGTCAGAGACTCATGTGTTAAGTGAGACAGCCTGAAACTTCTGTGAGGCAACACAAATTTTTAAAAAGCAAAGAAATACTGAGTGTTTTAGAAGGCAGGCAGAGGCATAACTAATACTGAAAGTTACATAACTATTGAAAAAAACATACTCCAAGTTGCAGTTCAGTCAGATAAACGAAGCTACAACAATCATCAGAGATCCTTTTAATAGTACCAACAATCGCCCACTATATACAAAATACCAAAACATACAGGGTCAATGGGTCATCAGCGATATTGACTCTCTAGTTCAGGGAACATGAAAAATTCAGAGGCCAACATCTACCCATACTTCTGAAAAGCAAATAGGCAACTACAGATTCACCTAATGTAGGTAAAATTTAATGAAGGATCATTGATCACTTGGAGAACTCGATGTAAAAAGACCACTGAGTTACGAAGCCTCTGTTCATAGTTTTGTGGATGTTAAGAGTGGTATTTGACTTCATCAGTGCATGAGAAAGCATGACTCCTGTTCCAACTGAACGTTACTGAGTGAGCAGCTGGGGTTGCAGGGACTTTTTTATTGTTTTGTCCTTTAGATATGTGTAATAGTCTGCAAAATGCTAGAAATAACTTGATTACATTTAATTTAAAAGTTGAAAAGATCCACCTGAAGCGTAAGTTTAGCCAAGGCCACAAACTCATGTGAGTTTTAAATATACATAATATCTTTCCATGCCAAAGCAACTCAAGGCTTTTTATAGAAGATCTGCAATACCACTGTTAAATGAATGAAAACAAGCAAGTCTTTGGTTTGAGAGGCAACAGCCAAAATATTCAACAACACAAACAAGCAGCATAGACAGAACATCTGGAAATGGAAGAATGAAACAAGGTCAATAAAGAGTACCTAAGGCACCTTGTTTATAGTAATCTTTGCTACACTCCTTAAGACCTCCAAATAATAGATAAAACTGCGAATGCTAAGGAATGTGAAGATGAAACAGCCAAGGACAAAACACGTTACTCTTATTCCTAGTTAAAATTCCCATGATCAAAGGATGTGAATAAATTTATTTCTCAAAGAGATTATGAAGTAAAGAGAAGAATCAGAACTAGGAAAATCAATGAAAGGAGGAACCAGTACCATTAAGATTAACTTCATTTGATATTCATGATTGCAAATCCAAATGAAATAGAAAAGAAGGCTGGACACTGAGATGTGGATATTTTCTTTAATATCTAGTGCATTTCTCAGTGTCAGGTACTATAGAAGATGGAAATATCGCCCTTAATTTAAAAATTAAACAAAATAGGAGAGTGCAGTCTGTACTTGCTTCAGGAATACACACTGTACAGCAGGAAGTACAAAATTGTCCTTGCAAAAATATATGCAAAGGAGAATTTTGAAGAGAGATGGGAATTCAGTTTATTCTACAATAAATATTTTTAATCACCAACTTATCCAATGCAGTATGTAGTTGACTGGTAACAGAAGCTACATCTGAGGACAGACTGGTTAAGTTTTGTTTTGGCCACTCCTCCCTGGAAGTCAATACCAATTTAAAAATAAAAAGGAGGGAAGGGAGGAACATCCCATTACTTCTTTGCTTAGTATGAGATGGTTTGTGAAAATGAGTCAGCAGTACTCAGTCAGTTCCCTGTTCTTATACTAGGAAACAGAGCTTATAATAAAAGCTCTCTTAGTTCATGTTTGCTAAACTGTGTGCAAGATGTTCAGTCAGTTTCCAAATCTATGTTCCCTTCCTACTGCTAGCCAGAGGGAGATTCATTCCTTTGCCTACTTTCCAAGACCAAAAGAAAGAAAAACCCTCTATCCATCTCAGTCTCTGGCCTTATCTGAATATATTAGTTCATTTACACACACCTCTAAAAGTTTCAGAACACCATGAGAGATCAGAAGGAGATACCACTAAGACATCTGTAGGTTTCCAAAGGTGTGCAGCAGAACAGGAAGTTTGGTTAGCTGAACACTTCAGGGGCTAGAAATACTTTGAAGTAAGTTTTTCACATAGTTTTGGGAATATCAAACTGAAGTCTGCAATAGCCAGAAGCCTGGTTACATTTTAATGCATATTAATTAAAAACTGTACAACAGCATTTAGTGTTCATGAAGATGACTGTTACACTTTTGGCGTTTCTAGGAAAGCAGGTCAAGCTTTAGAGTAGAATAAGACTGTACTGTCTTTAACTACCTAGATTACACTGAGAATTTGTGCTCACACCAAAAAAGTACAAAAAAAACACAAACATTTTCCTCATTGTCTGCTTTTACCTGGTCGTCTCCTCTCAGGTATGGCCCATTTCCTGTTCCCTTGGAGCTACCTTTGGCTATGTGGCTGGTCTGATTATTGCACCTCTGTGGATACACTGGAACCGGAAGCAGCTTACATACAAAAGCAGATAACTGGAGCAGCGAGAGACAAGGTATTTCTTTGTGCAGATTCCATACAGACTGTGCAAAAGTTCTTGTTTTTATAAGAGATATATATATATATGTATAATCAAAGCAGAAGACTATCCAAATTCATTTAGAGTATTTCAGGCCAAGCATCTCCACTCAGTAAAAGCACACAGATGCTGTTTCAGCATGGTGCAGTTTTTGCTTCCTCTAGACTATGTAACCCTGAGAGATTGTACCTTCCAGTCTGAATAAAATATTTGTAATAGATGTGGTGGCTTCTTATTACAAGTTTGTTGAGTTTGATTGTATTCCTCTGGATTTAACTGGTTGTAGAAGGCAGAACTGTAGTTTTCGCTTTCAAACCTCTAACAAGTTCGCTGTGTACTTAATGCATTGTATTTAAGTTCAGTAGAATTTCACAGTAAACCTGGCCATTGTCAAACATATCTCACGTGATCAAACAGCAGTTTATGCATCTTGAGCCTATTCTCTTCTTCACTGTGTGTTTCTTTGGAGTTAGAATGGCTATTATAGCTTCATCAAAAACGGTCTTCAGTCCTTTCTGTGTTAAAGCTGAACACTCCACATAGCAGTAGGCTCCTATCTGTCAAGAAAAGAAGTTAATTCAATAGCAATGTATTTCAGCTGTTCAGTTCTATTTGTGTACTTCTGCATTTTTTTATAGTGAATTACAGAATTACATGACCAATTTCTGTTTCAAAAATAAGACTATAAATTAGTGCACGGATAAGCACTATCTATGCAGTGTATTAAAATGGTAGTACAGCATTCTCAAATAATTTCTTAAAGATACTTCTGATGTTTTGCTTGAGTAGGGAAGGCCTCTTCCAACCTCAACCGCTCTGTGATTTTAATTCTTTCTGACTAATGCTTATGTAGTTTTTACGAGTGTCTACAGAGAAAGTTAAAACTGTTACTAACAGGAAATGGTATTACACAGGTCTGCTTCCAGCAATATAAGTAAATATTGTTAACTGGTAGCCAGTCGTAAGGTTTCATAAGTTAGTTGACTGGTAAAAGAAACGGGCAAAGTGGTAAAGGAAGGAAAAAGTCAATTGGAAATAGGGTTTTTTGCTTCTTTGCTACTTGGTTCCATTTAGGAGTATCAGTTTACCTCTTTTGCTAACTTCTGTCCTTGCTCCACAGAAATGGGCTTCTCTTTCATATCATTCAGTCTTGCCAGAGTTTTTGGGTCATCACGAAGATCAATCTAGCAAGAAAGATTGCAGTCATGTTGGAATACGTTTTCTACACAAAAGTAATCAGGCTACATGATAACCTCTTTTTAAAGCAGAATTCTTTATTTAAGGGAGTTTTACATATATAAAAATGGAGTCATGTCATGATTCACATGTGGACCCTATCTGATCCAAAACCCTGGAAATTTAAGCTGTGAACTACTACCACCTTTAATCCAGAAGGAACAAATGTTTCTCCTGTAATTCAGCTCTTCAGTTAGATGTGACCGTCTTGGAATACCAGAAAGTATATCCAGCAGTGGCAGAAGGAGTAACCCAAATGTAGTATCAACGTGTGGGTCACTTTGTAATTGAAGCCCAGACAACTGAGACAGCAATTGTCTCACTTTTCCCTTTGCTTCAGCAAATATTGGACATGAATAATAGCTGTAAACTCAAGTAATTCCAGTAACATGGATATAAACATGGGGTTTTATTCTGTAACTCCCATGACTTTACAGGAAGTCAAGCAGAGAGTTGCAGCCAATTTTGCCACCCTTTTTACAATGCATGTATTTCAGCAAAATGGAGGTAGCTGATTAGAGACCAACTCAGATCTAGGTCCTTCTGCCACTTGTTAGGGTTGTTCCTCCAAAGCCAGGAGATGCTGCTCAGGTTCTATCAGGTGCGAACTTCCAGCCCAAAAAAAAGGCACCATACAAAGATCTGAATTGTTTAAATAAAGAAGAACAGAACCATATATATACCTGTGTTCCTACTAGTAAAAAGGGAACATTAGGTGCATATTCCTTCAACTCTGGTACCCACTCTTCCTTCACATTTTGAAATGAAGCAGGGTTTACCACTGAGAAGCAGATAAGGAAGACATCGGTCATAGGATAAGATAAAGGTCTCAGACGATCATAGTCTTCCTGAGAAAGAAAAATTTTGTTACTTGCAATATCAAGCTGTTGCACATATTTTGTTAATTTTAACAGTTATATTCAGGAACTGTATTCATATTTCAGGAATTTTCTAGTTAGTACAGCTGTTAGAGCAAAATCTGCATATGAGGGTAACTATATGTGAATATAAATATAAAAAACCCTGTGTGTTAATACTGATAGAAACTTCTGTACAAGAGTGTACAGAAGACTATCCTTTAAAAAGTTTTCATTTAAAGAAAAAAAAAGGAAGGCTTATGATTCAGACATACTTGCAGATCAAAGGTTACCATTTGTTTGAGCAAAGAGAAATAAGCAGATGTCACTGTTACAGAGCCATCCAGGTTATACAAATCTAGGCTAGATTAAAGCTATTTAACACCCTTAAACTAAATGTTCTCTTTTGGATCATATGCAGAGATCATATTGAAGTTCCTCCATAGAATTTCCTTTCTGTCTCTTAGAAATACTGCTGTCATGTTGCTAATGATCAGGGCAGACAAGGTAAGGATCAGAAGAGACCTCTTTTGTCCAGACTCTGCTTTCTGTAAGCAAGCCCAGCACAGAGTGGAGAAGGAACAGAAATTAAAGATCAAGAATGCTATCAGGGGAACAGTAATGCAGTAATGCCCTTTTTTTTTTTTGGCAAGGGGAGGTGAAATTATTATTTGGGTTAATTAGAGCCATAGCATTTAAAGCCATCAGTCCTACTGCCAGGCCATACAATACTCTAGCAACAGAGGTACCTAGGAATATTGTCCCCACTGTAAAACAGATGGAGTTCCTCTAGCAAGAGAGGAAAAAAAATTGGATTTTGCCATATTTTTTAGCTAAGAGCAGGAGGGAGCATATCCTAGCTTCTCTCTGCAAGGCTTCCTTTGGTCTATGGCAATGAACCAATGCCATAACTTTCCTACCTTAGGCTTCTTTTTTTGTTTGTTTTTAATCATAGATAACAGAGACTGAGCCCAAGCATTGCAGAGACAGCAAAGAATGCTGGGTTTATGCCTTCTCTTCCACAATAAACACCAGT